TTATTTAATTGTTTTGAAAGGCCAATATGCAAATAGGAACCACCTCCAACTTGCATAATATTTGGCTTTTCAGTACAATTAAATTTATAAAATGCCCTAACATTTAAATTTTCTTCATTCAAAATTTTAACTAATTCTATTACACAGCTACGCTTGGGCTTGTGTTTAATAAACCACTTCCTAAGCTTATAATTAAGATCCTCCTGACCCTGCTCTACCACCATGCTTTCAATTCCTTCCTGACTTCGTTCTTCACTAAAACTTTCTAGCTCTACATCAGGGGTGCTCAACGCCTATACACTGAGTGCACTTTTGTTTTTGTAGATGCTCTGTGCTTATGGGTAGTGCGCGCATACGCACCGTGCATATGGGCTTCGATTTGCATGCGAAACAAAAACAATTTTGCTTGTTTCTTCATTACATCTCTATCCGTCGTCACGCTTCGCTGAACGCAATGTATTTTGTTTTTGTTTTTTCCTCGAGCACATGCACTGAAACTTATTTTTCTGTCTGCGTTGGCTTTTGATTTATTTCGTGGTGGACCATCGTAAGTGTTATGTAAAATTGTTTGGCGGATCAAAATGAGTGATGAATTAGAGAGCAGTTTTTTTAGCATAAACTTTAAATGCGAAGTACAATGCGTAATATGCTTCGTAGTTCTGGAGGTAAAAACTTTTTTTTTTCTCTCAGTGCACAGCTGCGCCCCAACACAAACGCGCCGCTACATATGTACACGTTTTCTTGTGGGTGTGTTAGTAAACGCACTGCCATAAGACGAATTTGAGCACCCCTGGTTTAGGTTATTATAATTGCGTCTGGCATAAAATGAATCAAGGTTATTACAATCGCAACGTGCATTCACGCGATTGGCAAGTGCGCTTCCGGAAGCCTCTCCGCCCATAAAGTAGATTTGTAAGAATGTATGTGGTTCATTTGGCATTGGCAGTAGTGAGCCCATTTTATGATAAACTTGGCCTCTAATTTTGAATGTAGAATTGTAATTTTGACCATTTGCATTAGTATTTCAAAATATTTCTGTTGCTCCGAACGATGTCATTTGAAAGCATGAATTAAATGTTCCGGCGAACTCCGTTTCGCCACCAGATGGCAACGTACTCTTCTAGCATTCACTGTACTACGACCTATGTTCCAACAACGTCTTTTTCCAATTCTGGCTCTTCTCTGACTTCATTGCGTTCAGTTCTTCTGGCTCTTCTTGATGCAATTGCGCTATTCTTTCGGATCTTATATTTCGCATGTATCGAGATCTACTTGTATCACGGCTCAAAGTACCCGCTTTGCGTTTTCTTGGCATAGCTCACTGGACAAAACACTCATAAATAGAATTCATGATTTTACTTAATGATGAAGGATTTTTGCCCCTGTTTAAATTGATTTAAAATGCCCCTGTTTAAATTGATTTAAAATGCTATTGTAGCGTGGTTTTGTCAGTGTGATGAGGTAGAAACTCACTTTATACGCGATTTTTGGTATGTCGAACACGATTTAAGAGGATGAAAAATAGACGTTGGGTAATTGTCAGACTTACCCAATACGCTCACAAAATTCCATGAGAATCGATGTAGCCATTTCGGAGGAGTATAGGCACAAAAACTGTGACACGAGAATTTTATATATTAGATAAAGTATTTATTGTGGGCCAATTAATAAAAATATTTCCTCAAATCTTGGCGGGCCAGTAACTAAACTCGTGCCAATAGCAAAAATTAAAATTTTATAGCTGAACGAAATAAACTTGCGGGAGTTAAAGGGGGGCCTGCTTCGTACAGTCAGTATTGCCAGTTTAGCTTATTATAAGCTAGATTTTTAATAAAATAAGCTAAAATTGAAAAAAATAATATTTTTATGTAATATCAAGCTATGAGCTAGATGAAAATTTAACAAGCTTATGTTAATGCAGATTTAACAAAACATAAAAATATCATTTTTTTTCAATTTTAGCTTATTCTAGCTTATTTTATTAAAAATCTAGCTTATTCGGACGCTCATCACCTGCCAACAGTGCTTGTACAGTTGAGGCGTACAGTTGATGCAAAGAAAAACCCATAAGGCGTCGATTTGAATTAGCTTAAGCTTCATTGGGCCCAGTTTAGAATTGGGCCCAGCTTACGATTGGGACCAGTTTATTAACTGTACGCCGGCGTACATAAGATAGATGTTTTTTTTTAACACAATTCAAATTCACTTTGTTTACTTTCAAAAGCACCGCAGCGCCTTATGGGTTTTTGAATAATACAAAATAAATTGCTTTCAAAAATAATTTAAACACTTACCTGGTTTATTTAGTTTAAATTTTACACAAATTATCACTTTACACAAATAATCACCCGGTTTGTCAACCTCCTTGCTGCAGAAGAACGGAAGAATGACGCAGATCAGTTTTTTTTCTTAATTTGCGTCGTCCCTTTTGTTTCATCTTAGACTTTTTGGCGCGTGCCTTGTTGGCATACCCTTTAGATTTAAAGTCATACCGTACTATATATGCAACGCGCATTAATAAAAGGGCAAGATTCTTAATACTAATATTAGAAATGTTTATTTAAACTATTTAGTCAAATTATAAAACCATTTAACAAATCTCTTTTTTTTTAAATATTAAAAAAAATTAGATAATATTGATTTATAATTTGACTAATAAATTTAATTTAAATATTATTCCCAGACAATAGCTGGTATATAAAATTGTATATAATTATACTTATTTAAAGTAAATTATGTTAAAAAACTTTAAAACCTAAAAGTATACATAAGTCGAGCATGCCTCAGCCGTGGTTCCCACCGAAAACCCAAATTTGTGTTTCTAACGGTTAATGCATTCCAATGCCAACAATGCAATGAGAGAAACGAAAAAATAGAAGACAAATTTGGTGTCGGGCCGCCGTCGTTGCCAAGCAACGACATCGTATTCGAAGAGTGAGAAAGAGGGGGAAACTTAGGAATATCCCTTTTTCTTTCCTACACATTGATTGCTTGTATGCCAAAAGACACCGGGTGACAGCCAGAACTGCAGGGTATTTATATGCTTACTTAAGTACATATGTAGCTGTGAGTGAGGAGTACCATGTACACACTAATAGTAATAACGTGGTCGCGCATGTGCAGACTTAATGCTATGCAGAGACACATGAATACAGGGAAAACCCTCAAGAAACAATGTTGGCCGATGGCGACAACGTCTTGGATATATTTTAAAAATCAATGGATTTACTTTTTAAATTGTTGCCAGTCGCTGGTTCGCTAACAAAATAAACTATTTTGAATATCTAAAACCAAAAACCGAGAAATATTTATATTTAACAACTGGATTGTAATCTACCAGTGGAAACATACTATTAGTGGAAAATCGGACATTTTCTTGAATACTTTTTAACACTGACAGATAAGAACAAGCGCTTAGATGCAAAAATAAGTTTGCTAGGGACAAAATTTTATTCTTCGCGGTGCAAACATATTTTAAGAGTTCATTTTTTTTATGCGGAATAGGCCAGAAACTTACATAATGTAAATGTTCGGTAATACTTCGGAATTTTGACTCCAGCTATATTTAAGCCCCCAAAAAAACCTGCGAACCAAATCAAGGGTTTTTTCATAAGATAATAACCCCCTTAAGAGGGGCAGAAGGTTTTTTACCTTGGAAAATGGAAATGTCCTCGAAAGATCAGCGGAAAACTCTTACATGCACGTCATGCATTTCCGCGCTAGGGGATTTGAGGACATATTTTGGGTAATTGGCCCAAAATAAACACTTTTTAATAAATAAAATTTTTCGATTTCTAGCACCGTTTACGAGATATTGAGCCTTAAATTTCCGATAATAGTGAGGGCTGGTAGCGGGCGAAAATACTTATTGCACATATTTTTCATTGAACTTTCAATATTTGCGGTACTTTTGGCCGAAGACAGACACTTAAATTTATTTTTTCAGTTTTTAGCTTATTTTTTTTTTATAACAATTACCTCAAAAAATAATATATGCGCGCGCACTTATGCATTGATACATATGCTATATTATTTTTTGAGGTAATTGTTATAAAAAAAAATTTCCGCCTATAACGGTGCGAGATATTGAAAAATTTTGTTTAGTAAAAGTGTTTATTTTGGGCCAAGTACCCAAAATATGTCCTCAAATCTCCCTAGCGCGGAAATGCATGACGTGCATGTAAGAGTTTTCCGCTGATTTTTCGAGGAAATTTCCATTTTCCAAGGTAAAAAACCTTCTGCCCCTCCCAAGGGGGTTATTATCTTACGAAAAAGCCCTTGATTTGGTTCCCAAGTTTTTTTGGGGCTGAGATATAGCTGGAGTCAAAATTCCGAAGTATTACCAAATGTTCTTATGATGAACGGTATAAGAATAAAAGGTCGCCCCAGGACTTTAATAAAGAAATTGGAAAAATTAAAGGGTAGTATTTCAACGGTAGAATATTCCCGACTACATTGGCAAGACGAGCATGGCGTTGTGCACAGAAATTTAAATAAAAGTAATTCTTTCGCTTAACAGTTTATGATGTATTTAAACTCAGTTACCTTTTCACGTATTTTGTCTTTAAAACCAAGTCTCGTAAATCAATTTTTGTAGATTTCTTGGGTTTTCTGTCCGTTTATGTTTAATTTTTTTTTTTAATTTCGCGTCACCCTCAGTTTGAAAAACTGAATATATTAAACTATACGTGGAGACTTGACGAACGTTGACCCTCCGGTCATATCAGGAAATTGGTCACCTATTTTCCTCTCTTTCACGCACAGCTGAATTTCCTATTTCTTCAATTTAAGTACTAGTCTTGGTCCAAATCCGCTGTCTTGGGAATATTTTAAATGCTGCCAATATTAGCCAAACTTCATTCACTAAACAGTAAATTGATGGTAGAGGGTAATTTGTGTGAATATACTATAAAGTTAAAATGTATAAATTTGGTCAAGGTGTTAAAGCACCTTATTGTTGAAATAAATGATATATTTGTTTTTAGTCTACGGTCACTTTAAAAATAGGTAAATAAGGTCAACCACATGTTGAGAGGAACTAGATCGACATTTAAAATTAAAGCCGCGTGTTTAAATTTTACATATAATCTGCTGTATTGAAGGTATTGTTTATACCTTTGGGCGCTTAAAACATTTTGTGCTTTTAAAAAGGATTAAAACATGGATCTTCTAATAACATCGAAACTTAAAAAACATAAAACTCGTGCTCTTGGATTTCGTCTACTAATATGTTACCTTAAGAACAACTACTTCAAATTAGAAAAAATCGAGCAGTGCTGGTTATCAATTACATTTCAATCTTGTAATTCATCTGAGTTACGTTTATATGGTGATTTAATATTTTCTGCAATGGGTAAGTTAACGTATGTATGCCTATGCGATTAAACACAGGTTTTCTTTTTAGAAATTATTCGATTTAAGATATATTGTGGTCTGCGTTTGTTTGAGCTTTTTGACATAATTAGTCAAACAATAGTGTAGTATTGTAATTTTACGCAGCCAAAATCCTATTAGTTTTGGTAAATATAACTCAATTAATACTTGTCTTGTTGTATTTTGCCTTATTCAACTTAAGAAATAATGAAAAAAAAAACTTAAAGATTCCTTATATTTTATGTAAGGAAAAATAAAGAAAAAATGGTAAAATTGCGCTTTAGCGGCTTTTGCTAAAAATGGTCTAGGAATTTTTTTTTTTTTTTTTAATGGATACCTTGGGGCCTAAACATTAATAAAAAAGTGGCGGAAAGCTTAAATTTTAATTATTAATGTGTTAAAATTGCAATTATTACTGCCGCGAGGCAACCCGTTTTAGAACATTGCCATGTTTTTCTAGCGAAAAACTTTACCGTTGAGAATGTGTTGTGGATGAAGAGTGCTGCAATTGTGTGAAAATTTAAAAACAAAAGAAATTTAACAATTTTACCATGTCAGGCACTGCCAATTTTACTACTGAGCGCTGTAAAGGTTGCGAAATGACTCAGAGTGATTTTATAGTACTGAGTGAATACCCAGAAAAGCTTTGGCCAGTTGCTTTTTTGCTATTTTTACAAATAAATACTTAGAAATCAAGCTTTCCGCCACTTTTTTATTAATGTTTAGGCCCCAAGGTATCCATTAAAAAAAAAAAAAATTCCTAGACCATTTTTAGCAAAAGCCGCTAAAGCGCAATTTTACCGAAAAAATAACTGCAGTTGCTGCAATGAAGGCATAAAGACGTCTCTGCATACTGTGGACCGCTCATGGTACAATTATAAAAGGTAGTCTCGTCGGCTGCCTAATCGTTCGGCTTTTAGTCAATTTCAAAACTATTAAAAATTAATTTATAAAAAACTTCAACTCCTTTTACTAAAAATAAGCAATTTAAGCCCCATGCACCATCTAAGGGTTAAACAACAAGCTTGTCGTTTCACTCGCACTTACTACGCAGACTCCTCTCACTCGCACTTGTTGTGAGTAATGAATAGCGGAGTGCTTTTTGCCGACGAGATTACCTTGTATAATTGTACCATGGGACCGCTGAGAGTTTATAATCGTCTTTAGGGACTTATTCAAGGATATTCAGTTTGCACGGATCCTCTTTATCATTAATAAAACCTGAACCTAAACCTGTTTAATGAGATGGAGGTCTGCAGACTGCGGCGATGTATGAAATTGCTTGCATTGTAAAGAAGCCGTTTCATTAAGTATGTTTCCATAAATACAAGCTTCTCAACTCCAGCTGTCCCAATATACCATAACATAACGGTATCGCCGCAATTTGTTCGGTTTTTTTTGTTATACCCTTGCAGAGCAAAGGGTATTATAATTTCAGTCAGAAGTTTGCAACGCAGTGAAGGAGAGACCTCAGACCCCATAAAGTATGTATATTCTTGATCAACATCACGATCAGAATCCAAATACATACGTATGTACGTCTGTCCGTCTGTCTGTCTGTCCGTTTCTCTTCAAACTAGTCTCTCAGTTTTAAAGCTATCTTGCTGAAACTTTACCAAAAGGTGTGTAGTTATTGAACGCAGTATATACATAAGTCGGAACGAGCCGGATCGGCCGCCTATATCGGATAGCTCCAATACGAGAGAATGAAATAAAAAATTCTCAGGCAGCTTTTTGATCGGATCGACTTGATTTCTTCCAGATGGCATTTTCTAACTGCTATTGAATTTCGTATTACATTTTATCAAAATCAGATAACTCTATCTATATAAAAATAATGGAAAAATAATTATATTGCCTTTGTTTTTAATCCCACGAGCATGATTTTTGGAACATAAAGTTTTCTAATGAGTCTTGAGTTTCAAATTAAATTTCAAAATCGGACGACTATATCATATAGCTGTCATATGAACAATATGGAAAATAAATAGAAAAATCGTCATAGCTTCGATGTTGTTTAGCCTTTATATATTTTGTTCGACATATTTAATGACTGCAAGGGTATATAAGCTTCGACTTGCCGAAGCTAGCCTCCTTTCTTGTTTTTAACTTAAGACGGGAATAAAGTGTTTATTAGGTGTCCGCCAAACCATTGTCCTGTCATGGGGAACCCATGGTAAATCCATTTTTGGCTCGATTTCTGGCGGATGATGAATCCAAGTTTTGTCGATTTGGATCTGATAGATCGATCAGATATATTTTTTTCCAAAACCGTTTTTCCAAACAATCAGTGATTTTCAAATGCTCATTTGCAAACTGAAATCTGGCATACAAATTGTTTTTGGATACGTGCGGCTTGTGCACAGCTATGCACCCTCGAACATTTTTATCATTTCATCGCCTTCTTACAGTCCTCGAGTATAAATCTATATTAAATATTGATGATATTTATTGTTCTAGAGCCGTTAAAAGGGTATTTTTCAGAAACATTTTTGATAATCCGGTTTTCTTTTTCATCTGTTTTTCGGGATCTGGGGTTTGCCCTGGTGGGTTTGGTACTTTGATTGATTTTAATATGTCCTAGAGCATTGTAAGCCATTTTACGGGAACATTTTAAGTCTTTAGAAATCTCTGAAATCGTTTTCCAGCTGATTAAGAGTCTGGATGACTTCCTGCTGTCCTTCTAAGCACTTAGAAGCTGGTGGGATTGCAAACACATATTTTTATACTCTCTTAATGACAACAAGAATTATCAGTTAACTTTTACCAAAAAAAACGAGACCGCCGTTTGAGGTATTTAGATTCAGAGGCTTGGTAAATGAAAACGGTAAAAGCGAATGGGACAAAATTAACGGTGCATGTTCTCCTATTAATAGAGAATAAAAAAAATTCCGCGAAAAATCTCCGGGGATAGGTGAAATTGGAGTTCAAAAATGGGGATTGCATAGTGTGCTAAACTAGTGGCCACCACTGTATATTTAATGTAAGTGGGAGATCTGCGTATGGTCATTCGGAATGCTTTTTAAAAGGTGCAACAACTTAACATAACCTAATCTCAATCTTAATAAATGTATGTCTTTAGCGCCCGAAGGCGTGTCTGCGACACAACCTCGTTAGTCCTAGACTTGTAATCTTTTTTAAGGTCAACTCGAAACGCCATCAAAAACTTGTAAGCGATTTGTGAGTGAGAAATGCGTGTGCTATCATTCTAAACACTTTTTAAAATCAAAAACTTAACCTTACGTAACCTTAATCTTGATAAATGTATGTCCTTATTTAAGCTTAAGCACTTAGAAATTCGATCAATAATCTTTAAAAAAACGGACCATCCTTAAAAGAACTAAATAGGTAGGTGTTATAGCGGTTGTAATATTAAGCTTTTAGACTGCGTTTTGTATACTTATCTGTGCATATTTAAATAAAGCTATTAATTAGTTTGTACTTTTCAGCACTTCTCATTGACAAGATCCAAAACGACGGTACTTTATCAAAAGCATTTGCATCCACTTATTTATCTAAAGTTGTTGAAAGTTTATCTCTGACCGAAATATATGATAATGAACGCTGTACACTTGCTGTATTACATACGATCAAGCGATGTCTTAAATATTACCCAAAAGCTTTAAAATCTGGAGTTTCGTCCATTGAAAAGGTTTTAAAAATGTTAATAAACAACAGTAATGCTGATGTTGTACATGAAACTGGGGTGTGTTGGCTTTTGTTGCAGAATACCCGCGTTAGTTTCAACAATGAACACTCTAGTAATATAACTACATGGAAAGATTTCCAATTATCTTTAGTTAATAGTCTTTATTATTTTATAAAAAGAATATTACCTAACTCTGATGAAACTTATGAAGACGCTTTTAAATCAAGTAGCTTTGGGTTTTCGACTTTAAAAGTGATAGATGAAAAAGATCCTTTTGAAAGAGCCGCACTAGTTTTTCAACGAATTTTTAATCTTATTGAATATTTAAAAGTTGGATTAAGGTAAGAAGATATTCCTTTATATTCTGTCAGTAAAATATACAACCATTTTAGCAAACAATTCGCGCAATCAAAATATGTTTGTACTCATCAAATCTTGGATTTAATAAACATTGGTCTTAAATTACATACGAGCGAAAGAAATAATTTGCGAATTGACCATTCATATTTGGGAACTTTTTTACCGGAAATGCATATGAAATTATTGGAACTTTTGGAAACTCTTATTGACATGTAAGTAACAGCCACTTATTGAAGTTAATTGTAACCTTTCGAATTGCTTTTCTATGACTACTCGCCGCGAAAATCGCGCGGCTTGCTCAGCTCAGTTTGTGTGTTCGTCCCACCAAATTTATTTGTGGGTGATTGCCGTGGCCAAGAAATAACCCAAATTTGTGTCGGCTTAGCAAAAAGGGTTGTATTGTATTTTGCATGTTTGTTGTTTTATACCGCTGCTGCATCGGCTCTCCTTATCAGCTTCACTGCTAGTCACAGATAACTCCTACAGCGACGCGAAACCCTACCGAGTCGTCTGGATACTACGGTCGTGTCCCATGCTCGCTTCTAACTCTTATCGAATTGAGGATGTTAGGCTAGCGGGGCTAAGCAAGAAGTGTGTCGCGCACAGGTTAGAGAGAATCCGTCCTGCAGCCACCCGGAGTTCGGTCTGGATATCGTCGGTCCGGCACCTAGTATGAATCGACGCTCATTTGCCTACGCAAAACTTCACGACAGAACTTCTCCAATATATCGTACCTAAAGCTCGTATACGCGTCCTAAACCTAAACCAGCACCTTTCGGATCTCAGTGTTGTAGCATCAGTTTAGTAGACTTGTCCATCGTTCGGCGTCTCAACTTTGCGAGCTTTATCCTGTTGGCACTGCCTTTTGGTTTTGCTTTGCTTCTATTCGCGTTGACCCTTTCACTCGTAGGACTTTCACTTGACTGTCTCCAGGCGTGGGACTTCGACATGACCGTCCTCTGTGGCAGCTTCTTTCTAACTTCGATTTTCTCTTGCGCCTACTTTTTATACCCTTGCAGAGCAAAGGGTATTATAATTTTGGCCAGAAGTTTGCAACGCAGTGAAGGAGACACCTTAGACCCCATAAAGTATATATATTCTTGATCAGCATCACCATCTGAATCGAAATACGTCTGTACGTCTGTCCATCTGTCCGTCTGTCCTCCTGTCCTGTCCGTTTCTGCCCAAACTAGTCTCTCATTTTTAAAGCTTTCTTGCTGAAACTTTCCCAAAAGGTGTGTAGTTATTGCACGCAGTATATAAGTCGGAACGGCCCGGATCGGGCGACTATATAGGATAGCTCCCATACAAGAGATTGAAATACAAAATTCAAACGCCGTTGTTTTTGATCAGATCGACTTGATTTCTTCCACATGGCGTTTTCTAGTTACTATTGAATTTCGGGTTAAATTTTATCGAAATCGGATAATTCTATCATATAGCTGCCATAGGAGAGATCAAAAAATATATATAGAATTAAAGGAAATTAATTGATTACGTCATTGCTTTTCATCACACGACTATGATTTTTTGAGTATCAAGTTTTTTAACTAGCCTTGGTTCATAGAAAAAATTTCATAAAAATCGGACAACTATATCATATAGCTGCTATAGGAAAGATCGAAAAATCTATATAGAATTAACGGAAATAAAAAGATAACATCGTTATTTCTCATCAGAAAATCATGATTTTTGGAATATAGAGTTTTCTAACGACTCTTGAATAACAAATAAAATTTCATCAAAATCGGACGACTATATCATATAGCTGACATATGAACAATAGTCAAAAATATGAAAAATTAATAGAAAAGTTGTCGTTGCTTCGATGTTGTTTAGGCTTTGTGTATTCTGTTCGAAATATTTGATGATTGCAAGGGTATATAAGCTTCGGCTTGCCGAAGCTTGCTTGCTTTCTTGTTATATCCCGTTCTGGTCCCGTTGTTCTTATCCAGACTGCTCGCGTTGTCGGCTTCAAAGTCCCTCTATGTCCCGTTGATTCATGTTGTTTCCTATTTGTGCGGATCCAGAGTCCGCGGATTTACCGTTCAACCTCGATGCCTTTGCCGGCTAAAATCCAAGGACCAGAGCGTTACCGATATTTCCCGGCTTCTCCGCTCTGCGCCTGTTCAAGGTTCAATATTTCCCGTTTGACATGGACGACCTTGGTCTCTCTCGTCTTCCAACCTCCTCCGCTTAAATTTTTGGATCTATGTATTTAAAAAAATTGTTTGTAATAAAAACCAAAAACGATCGTTGCTTTTTTGAACTAAAATTAGTTCAGTTTTAATGAAACAAAATTCAATGGATTTTTTTAATTTGGACCTTATTTACCTTAATTCACTTAAAAAAAAGATATGAAGCTAGCTTCGGCAAGCAGAAACTTATATAGGGGAGACCGGGGGGTTGTGATACGGGTTTTGTTTTTTGACAAAAAATATAATAGAAAAGCCATTTTTCTGCCCGTACAAAATCATGATTCAGTGTAATTAGTTGTAATTAGTTCAGTGTATAATTAGTTGAAATTTTAGTTCGACCTTCAAGTTTTGCCTGCCTGCTCAAAAGTTGTTTTTTATGGATTTTCTTAATGTTCGGGGGGTTGTGAGACACAAATTTATAAGAATGAAAATGTCTTAATTTTATCAAAATTGTTTATTTTAATCTTTAATAAAGGCATATTTTGTGGTCTATTATATGATCTACCAACGGACCGTAGCGGCTTTTTCTCGATAGCAACCTCTTTTATAGCAGCCACAAAAACATTGACATCAATCGCAGATTTGTCAGTCTGACTATACTTATGACGCACCATGATGACTAAAGAAAGAAAAAACGATAATCAAAAGCACTGAATCCATCAAAAATATCAAAATTATCATTAAACGTTTTCGTTGTGTACAGAAACACTATATCAGGCTATAAAATACAATTTTATTTTCCTAGATGACGCGGTAATAGAATGTAACATAACCCCCCGAAAACATTGTCTCACGACCCCCCAATAGCTATATTTTAAATATGGCTACTGCTTTACGGACGCATTAAATGTTTATGCAAAATTTGTTCCGTGTGTCAAAAGGCTACTCACCAAGGAATGTTTCGGATGTATGCACTCTCGCAAACAGCTTGTAAAACAACGCGAAAAGACAGCAAACACGAACGGTCTACAAAACTATCGATCACAAAATTGGAGTTGCGATTTGGGAAGACATAAAGAATCGGCATGAGCGGAATATTTGTCATGTGGATATGAAGATTGGAAACAAGCAAGAAGTCTCGCAGTCAGCTGGTATATGTCCCGCTTTTTAGTTCAGGGCTGTAAGCGCGTCTCACGACCCCCCGTGTCTCACGACCCCCCATGTCTCACGACCTCCCGGTCTCCCCTACCCTTGCAGTCATCAAATATGTCGAACGAAATACACAGAGGCTATGATGATTTTTCTATTAATTTTTCTATATTTTCGACTATTGTTCATATGACAGCTATATGATATAGTCGTCCGATATTTAAAATGTCTAATTAGAAATAAATAATAATATCACCAACTTGCAATGATAGATTGACTTGGTGAGTCAACAAAATAAAAAAAACACCCGGGAGCATAGGGCCTCTAAAATTTTTTTTGTAGAGGATTCATTATCCTAGTGGTGGGTTTGCCACATCACCTGGTGCCATCTAGGAGGGTCGAAAGTTCTTGTGTTCAATGTTTTCAAAAAATGAGTTACGAATTAATTTTAATGAATATTAAACGATTTTATCGTAATATCGACTATATTAAAATTAAAAAATTGAGAATATTGATAAACAAAATTCGACATAGCTAGATATAGACATAGTACTACATATTACAGATTTCAGATGATTCTTTTCACTTAAGCTCTGACTGCAAGGGTATATACTTCGGATCGCCGAAGCGGGCTTCCTTTCTTAGTTTTAAACCAAATTATATATATATACTAGCTGCCCGTCCCAGCTTCGCCCGGGTTTTTTTTTTAAGTTGCAAAAACTTTGGTTGTTCATTATTTGCAGGAAGTAAGGAACCAATTCTGTGATACACCTGTCCTTGGATGGTAAAAGTAGGAGAAAATCCAGGCATTACGACCTCCTTATCTTTTTCAAATGACGTCATCTGAAAGCAAGAATTATACCTTCAAATCCTGCTTAAAAACCGGCGCGATTCGTTACTGTCGTATAAAAGTAAAGATTTAAGAGGTTCCTCTGGCTCGTCAAGTAATGGAATTTTAACCTTTCCACCAGAACAGCACATACCTGGAGTTTCTTCTTTCCATTTCAGTGCTTCACAATATCTGCATTTTGTATCCATTCTCCCAATGATATCCAATCGGTGATTAACATAGTCGATCAAAGGGTCATACTCAAAAGAGGCACCATTAAACGCCTCCCACGTTCTCATTGATAACGTACGTGTTCTTTCTGCCTGCCGCTCAGCATTTAAAAGACGTCGTCTTTGTGAATCTTCGTCAGACTCTGCCGAAAACAATTGCGCGTGACGTTCGGCATCTAAAACTCGACGTGTCTGAGTCTGTTCCACTGTCACAGCAGCTCTTTGAGATGCGTGGCGTTCAGCATCCAGGGTCTGACTGGCCCGAGTCAGACATAAAAATTAACATTTTATTCCTCTGTTTTTCTTTTTAAAATTTTATTTGTGATGTTTAATTATGAACTTCATAACATCGGCAACATCGAAGTTTACCGGGGCAACATCGATGTTTTTCCATCTCTAATCTCTAAGGCGCAAAAAGGAAGATTGACACATTATAAGTACATATTTCATTTAATTTCATTATAAATCATTTGCAGAATATTGTTATTTTAGTTATACTTGTGGGTGGTGTTGGCGTGTGTGGTGGGAGAAAAACATGGACAGATTTTGCATACATAGGACAGTAAGGACATACATAGGACAGTAAGTTAGTATAGTTCATTAGGTGGCACTACAACCCGATTCGGGTTTTGGCCGACCTCAGCGTCTCCCTCCAGGCGCCTCTGCTCCTTGCGCGCCTCCAATCGGAAATACCCAGTGCAGTCAGGTTCTCCTCCACTTGGTCCTTCCATCGAAGCTTTGGTCGTCCCCGTCGTCGTCGCCCGTAGTCGACCCTCGCTTCAAATACATACCTTCTGAGCTTGAGATTTGTTATCCATACGCACAACGTGGCCGAGCCAGCGCAGACGTTGTATCGTGATGCGCCG